AAAAAAAAAAAAAAAAAAAGAAGCAAAAAAAAAAAACACTCAATCATTCATACCCTATAGGAACAAGAAGACAGAACATTACAGCAACAATGATAGTTTGAGGAATGGATTGGGAAGAACAAAAGTGGGGAACCAAAGAAGGGAATAAATGAACACAAGAACAACGCTTCAGCACCTGCTTGCTGAATGCCAAATGATGTCTTTTTCAAGTTAAAGCAGGCCGAGGTTGAGCGATTTCAGAGTGTCTCAACAAGCAGCAAACCGGGACACATCGAATAGGGAATCGTCTCGTGCCGAGACGAGAAAATGTACACTTGTTTTTTAGATATGAGAGAGTTGGAAGAAGATATGAAATGATAGAATATGGATATTGGGTAAGGCTGTTTGTAAGTAAATACTTGAAAAACTCACATATAAGTGATAGACGACGAGATCGGAATGCTAGCAGGCGTGACCTCGTCGGCAGTTAAGTGCACCGGCGTTGGCTGTTATGGAAGCAACCATGGATGAGGATTTAGCTCCCAAACTAGAGGCTCTAGCATAGCTTGCCGAGGCCCCTGCACCAGATGGAGTGAAAAAGGCACCATTCATCAATAGGTCTCCCTCTGATCTCCAATTCCAGTTTTTCCACTCAGATTCAGCTGTCTCAACCCTCTTGGTAACCTAAAGAATGTCGAGGAAGGTTAGTTCTAAACCGCTTGCTCTGATATCAGGTTAAATTACTACTAAACTCGAGCGGTTTTGAAAAGGTTAAACTATTAGTATCTAGTACCTCTTTTGCAAAAGGGTTGGTTGGTGCAGCATATCTGTTACCCTGGCTATTGATAGTAGGATTTGCACTACCCCCAATGGCGTACATCTCCCAGTGAGTATAATCATTGTTCACCACATGGAAGTATCCATGTCTACACCTAAATAATCCATAAATTGATCCTATTTTGTAAGATGAAAACGGATTGTTTTCTTGCTCATAAATAGCTAAACATGATCAATTATAAGATGTTGTACCTTGGCATTCTTTGGATGAGTCCTTCTCCAAAGTGATTGTAAGCAATGGTCACTTGCATTTGTTTATCCCTAACGTATGAATCACTATGTCCCAATAACATTACCTGTTCATTAAACACACAACGTGAAGCAATGTCTATGAAAAATGGCAAAAATATGAACTGAGTAGATGGATGAAGTGAAGATACCTCATTGTGGTGGGTGAAGTAATTGTTGGTGATTGTAATTGCAGTGGATCCCATGACAGCATCAACAAGGCCATCAGCACAGTTAGAGAGTGAATTATGATCGATCCAAATATGACTTGACCCAAAAATGGAAATGGCATCTCCATCAGCCATTGTTCTCCACCCAACGTGATTGGGTGAGCTCCTTACCATGGCGTTTCCAGTGGGCTTGCAGTCATGGATATTTAGACCATGGACAATAACATTAGTCACAAACTGGATGGTGATGCAAGCACCATTAGCAATGTGAACATTGGTTCCACGAGCGTCAATTGTCTTGAAACTGTTCATGATCAGTTCCTGTTTCAGCTGTATCACCATGTCTCTTTTGAACACAATCCAGAGAGGTTCATCTTGGATGACGGCATGTCGTAAAGTGCCAGGCCTTGGACTGACAGGGTTGTCGTTGCCGGAATCAGTGACGACGTAGTATCGACCGTCGCGACCACCGATGGCATTTCGGCCAAAGCCAATGCCACAATCTGCAAGACGTTTGCGGTTCTGTTGCCAATTGGGGTCACAACGCCAGCAATCATCAATGGGATTGCCGGTTCCACACGAGAAGAATCCAAGCTCCCTCCTTGCAGTGGCATTGCGAATGCTCCTGATCAAGTGTATTGTTTTTAACTGTTAACCTTCGATGTTATAAAAGTTTTACAGAATTAACTATAACAAGACCAAAACTCTTGCTTGCAGCGTCGGTGGGGTAAATTTCTTATATCTCTAAACTTAGACCAAAACAAGAACGGGTTGATGGGAACCATAGAATAAAGTAATCCCATTTGTCAATTTGTGAAGGACTCTTCAGTTTGATGGATGAAAGTTTGGTGGCCATTTTCTTAGGGTCGGTGTCGCCTATTGGGCCACTCAAGGGCAGTTGCCACTTGCAATAAACTCAACCAAATCGACTTAAAAGATCATTTGCCTCATTTTACAAGTCCACATGGACTGGATAACAAGATCCTAGAAATAAATATATCCACATTAGATGTTTTCTGTTCTTTTCCGAGATAAGACCAAAAGGCAAAAGCAGAATGAAATAGACAAGAGTAATGAACGGACCCCTAGTTGGGAATCTAAGGCGTCGTTAAGGACTAAGGAGAGACAAAAGATAAAATTAGGGATTCCAACTCAGGAATCAAGCCGAAAACCTAACGATGATGAACAGAAAAGTGGTTATGGGCAAATTATTAGTGATCTTTTTAAGGTGGGTTTGCAAAATTTGGTCAAATGGATAGGTTTACTTAATTTCCCTTGAAAATTTGATCCCAGAAGACCAGCTTCGGGGCAGTTGAGCCTAATTCGCACCCAGATAGTTTCCCAATAGATAACTCAAAACTCTAGACCATAGATAGTGCAAATTGACATTTTATAATCTATATGAAGAGGAAAAGAGGACCCACATGTCAACCGCAGCAGCGACCTCTTCAGGGTTGTCCACGGCATGCTTATTACCTAAAGCCTCGACATCCTCCAACCTGAAATTGCCATCCCCATGTATCAGATCCAATGGAGAAAAAAAATGACCCAAAAGAAAAGAAGAAACGGATAATAATTTAGAACCGACAGTTAACAGGCACGATATCGATTTTGTGCCGGGACAATAATGCATTGTGACCAGGACAGGGGCACATGCAACTTCGGGAAACAGCAGTGGGCAACAAATCATAAAGCAAAACGTGGCAAACACACAAAGCGAGTGCTAGAAGAAAGAATGATGTATAATACAACGCGTTTTTTCTTTTCACATCACGTACGACAGTGTCCAATTTATTGAAAGTTGTGCGTCGCTCAAAGTGTAAAAAGATTACTCGAACAGCTCGCTCGCTGCGAAAAAAACCGTTACAAGGGGCCTTTTCTCAGAGCGAATATTGAATATAGTGCGAGCGGAAGAAGTCCGTTTTCACAAACACTTTCAAAAGTGAAAATGTCAAAATCTTTTTGTCATTACAAATAACATAAAAGGGGAAAAAGTTGCAAATCTAGGTGGAGTTTTAAATTTGTTAATGGAGTAGAGGAATCCGAGTAAGTAACTGGCAACGAAATAAACAATTGAGGTCCATGGATCTAGATCTAAACGATGGAGATTGGCAATAGAGTTGAGAAAATTGAAGGTGGGAGGATATTAAGTATTAACGACGGAAGGGGTTTGGTTAGGTACTGAATCTTCTGCATTTATCAAGTTTTTAAAGAAACGACGAACAAGGAAAAAAAATAATTCACCTCTCTGCCATTGATGCATTGCTTGAGCTCCGCAATATCTCGGTTGCTCGATTCCTGCAAAATTAATTGAAATCACAAGTTAAAAACAGAGATTAAAGTCTGAAGAAGGAGTATTCAATCTCCATTTTCCCACGCATTTTCTCTATCACCGAACTGAAATATTCGTTAGGTCGAAATATACAAATCAAGACAACAACACACTTCTGAAATGATTCCGAGGACGAGCCCTAACATAAATTCAGCGGCTCAAAGAAGAAAATCTCCGAGTGAAGCAGCATGAATGCAATGGGATTGAGTAAACACAACCACACACGAAAAATTGAAGAATCTTCGAATTCAGAAAACAACAACACTCTAAAAATTCAACAAAATCGATCGTCTAGTAACATAATGTGGCTAAAATCAATACCGAACCAGGAAGAAGAACAGAGAGAATTCGGATCCCCTAAATACAGAGCAAATAACAGAAAAGGAGAAGAAATCGCCGACAGAGAACAAAGATAAGAATTATGATGAACAAAACATCAACTCCAAAAATTTTAGAGCGAGAATGAGAGATTCATACTCAATTTCATGAATCTCTTTGGGAGCTCTGGCAATTGTTTCGACGAACAACATGAACACCACGAGAAGAAACAACCGAATCCATCCTCCAGATTCCGCCATTTCCATTCCTTCAACTTTAATTCAATGTGGACACAAATGTTCAGAAATGAGAACGAAAATGACGAAGAAGAAGAAGAAGATGTAGAAGGCAGTAATGGAGTCAGAGTAAGCTCCCAACGAAATGGCTTTTTTTTATAGACTTTCTCCATAAATTAAAAATAAATAAATAAACTAATTCAACCGACGTCAACACCGTTAACTCGGTTAGGTCACCTTTTTAATCCGCACACTGTATTTCCAATTTTACCCTCCCAAACTCTCCGTTTTAACTTTTAACCACTGTATCACTTCGCACGTGCTGACGTCGGCGCCCACGTGCCACTTAATTTCTCCCTGTCCGTTACGCCGGACGACCCGCAAACGTTGACCGTTTGACCATCGTACCCTTATCCGTCACGTAATCTGAACCACCAAATATTGTTTTTCCATTAATTAAGGTATGACTATAAGTCAATTTTATATTAATATTAATATTGTTTTTTTTTTCTTATTTTAAATTCTTTTTATTTTATTTTTATGAAATTTTTAATAAAAATTTTGCCTTGATTATAAGGTCATTATTAATCTCAAAAGCGGCTCAAGACACGTGCACCGAATTGGTTCGTGATGATAATCTTCGCTTTTAAATGTCGTTTGAGACAAGTAGATAACACGGTCACAACGGGTCGACATCGCCCGAAAACTAACACTAATCCTCGCTCACATACTTCTCAAGAGGTTACCCAATATAAAATTGCTCTAAATTTATACGGTTTTTATAATGGAGTAACTGAAAGGAAATGTGTTCATTATAGTCTGTAAATATCTATTTTTAATATTTTTTAACCATCATACGATGAAAATCAATTAGCTTCCAACATTATTAGCTGAAATTAAGGTATTTTTATTATTTAAATAATTAAAAGTGATAATAAAATTATTAATTAATACATTATCCACTAAACTCAATAATAAAAAAACAATCTTAATTGTTACAAAAATAAATAAATTAATTAAATAAATAAACTTGATTTGATACAAGAAAGGAGATGGGATGGAAAATGTCGGAAGGGCTGTTACGGAAATATAGTGTTTTTTAGCTAAGAATATATGAGTGACAAAATGAAAATAATAAAAACAAATTATCATGATTATAATAATATTAATTAATTAATTAATTAAAATAAAATTATAATGCTTAAGGGTTGTTTGTTTGACACGTAATCTTCCCCCACCAATCACGGACCGGACATTTGAGTCACGGTTTCACTCGCCCGAGTCACAAACGTCGCGAATCAAGGGATCTTATTGGCTTACAGCTGCCAGCTTTTTAATTAAATTTAATATTTTTTTATTATTGTTCCTTTGTTAATTTTGCCTTTTATTAATTTTTATTTTTATTTTTATTAAATTCACCCACCCAATATTTTATTAACCTTTTGGTAACAAAATTTAACCATTTTTCTTTTTTACTCAATAATTTAACTTTTTTTTTAGTCAAAGTAATTTTTTAAAATAATAATTTACTTTTAGTTTTATTAAAAACAAAATTTAACCCTTCCAACCAATCCTATAAATACTTCAATTTTTTAATTTAATTTTTTATTTTTTAAAATTTATTTTAACGACACCTGATTGGAATTAATTTTTTTTTATAGAATTAAATATTTGTGACACATATTTAATTAAAGGTTATAGTACTTGCAATAATGGAAATAGATATATTTTAAATTATGTGTGATAAAAAATGACAAAAATATATTAAATAAATAATGAGCTGTTTTAAAAAAACAAAGTTCGTACCATTTATTACCAAAAATAAAAAATAAAAAAATAGAAAATAATTGTAATGTAGTTATTGTTTCCTTTTTCTTTCGAGACAATAATTAAAATTTTCTAAAAATTCTGTTTTTCTCTCGTTTAATTATGGTACACGTGTCCTTTATAAACCAGCCAAAATTGCTTCGGAAGTATTGTACTTCTAAATAATAGCCGAAGCATTTATGTTCTGGAATAAAATAATTATTTTTTATTTAAATTACAAATTTTAAAATAATTTAATAATTTTAAAAATATAAGCTAACAAGGTAAACATAATTTAATTAATTAAGATATATTATTTAATTTAAGTTATGTAATTCAAACTTAGCTCAAATTTCGATTACTTGGATCTGAGATGTTACGGGGCTGTTCTTATTTTACCCGAAGGGTTTGAATTAGCCTCTGATCGTATTTCTCCCGAGATTAAAGAAAAAATAGACAATCTGTCTTTTCAGAGCTATCGTGTAGGCCTCCCAAAAGGTAACGGAGGCGTGCAAAGGTTTCCTCGGGCTAGACGGAGATTGGCCATCGAGTGCAAAGGCAGAAGGGAGCTTGACTGCAAGACCCACCGGTCGAGCTTCAATCCAAGCTTATGTTATTTCTTTTTAGCTGGTGGGCTGACTCCCGTGTAATAATAAGTTAAAATTAAGTCGGGTACGTTTTTTTTAATGTATTTAAAGTTGGTCACGATTGATTCTCATTTTAAAATGGGTTAAACTCGATCGATCGTAGTAACACGAGACCCAGAGTTTGAATCGTTAATCGACAATTCTAAGAATTTAAACGCCTCTTAAATCAAACGGCTGGAATTGATTTGAAGAATATTGATCTTTTGACAGCTCAACGCGTATTCGTAGGAATAAGCACAGGCGATCCGTACCGGATTCTCGTGAATGACAGAGAAGAAGCCTAAAATTCATGGGTCATGTGGAACCAGGCATCTTGGAGAATTTTGTTTTGTCGAAAGTAATTACACGTGTAAATTAATTAAAATTAGTAATTACACGTGTAAATTATATTATTGGTTAGCTCGTCTCAGTATATTACACGCTGTATTTAGTTTTTTTTTAATAATATATTAAAGATAAAACAAAATTTAAAAAGTATGCTCTTTTGGAATGCCCTCATGTGCATTTACATTTTTACCCCTCATCTTCATATGCATTTTACACATCATTAGGATTTATCAATAAGCTAAAATAATTAAATTAATTATTTATATTTGTAATTTAAAAAATAACCAAATAATTAATTTTTCGATACAATTTTGCAAATGGTAACGAAATAGAATAATGACAGACTATAATTGTTTATATGACCTAATGATCCGACTAACCTGAAATATCTAGATTATCGAACCTAAATCCTAAAAATTGGGTAAGGTCAGATTTTTTTTTTTTTTTTTTTTTTTTTTTTGGGTTG